CATGTGTTGGCCATTTTTAGGTCCTGCTGACACACGTTTCAGGTTGTGACTAGTTTATTTGTCTGCTAACAGTGTCCAAAAGTGGATATGCTATACAGAGGTTTCTATACATGTTCTAAAGCCATTCTTCTTTCTTCTGAAAATGCTTATAGAAGGGCTGAACAATATCGTTACAGCATCAAAATCGCAATGTGTGGATTTGGAATGTGGAATAGTCATATCGCAGAATCTGCAATATGGAGTTGAGATTATAGTTGATCAGCAATAAAGAATGTACAGTGTTATTTTACAATACATTTGATTAATCAATAAGAGGGTAGAAAACACATTTGTAATGCAATTCTATAAAATATATGTGCTGTTCGTAAAAGAAATACATCTAATGACTTTTTGAAGGATTTGATATACTGATATATTTTGTATATTGAGATATATTTTGGAGGGTTTGCTTGTGGTATACTGTAGGTATTGTGATCCATCATTACCGGGGCCAAAATATCATGATAGTATCGAATCGTGTTGTGTCGTGTTACTAGGGCCAGACTGAATCTGCGGACATTTTTTGCTATGCTGCAGAGAATTTAAAAATCTGCGGATTGCAGATGATCTTAGGATTACCATAACTAAAAACTTTATTGAATGTGTATAATGCAAATCCAATTAGATCCACTTATTTGGTAAACACAGCAAGTATCTCATATAATATCTCTACTAAAAGACAGTAAATATTACTTTATAAACTCTATTGTAAATAAATCATATGAACATTTTAATATTACTATTATTATATCACAATAATATTAGTGAAATTAATTTAAAATCTGATAAATATAAATGTACACACATTTACACAAGTAAATAAATTAATGAAGGGCAAAAAATCTGCACATATATGTGGATTTCTGTGTGCATATTCCATGTGGGCCTACATATTACTGTACCTAAATATCTACTTGTTTTATTTTAATTTTTGCTTCAATTTCTTTAATTCAAGATTATTCCAATCTTAATTAATGATTTTATTCCAAATAGAGCTATTCAAGTCATCTGCCGAAATTGTATTAAAAACACAATATATATTTTAGAAAAAGAAAATATTGCAATGTCAGATTTTTACAATATCGCGCAGTCCTAGCTTATAGTTTAGCATTGGTGGAAATGTATTTTTTTTTTGGAATAAAAGTGTTGGGTTATTTATTTATTTTTTTCATGCTAAGAATAATAGATATTAGGGTCGGTTATCGTTTAATATGATTTTGATACCGGTACTAAATGGATACTTTAAAACTGTACCGGTGCCAAAATGGTGAACGACTCCTTAAACTTTTTAATTATTTTGATTGAACAAAATAAAGTTTATAGTGTACATCAATTTATATTTTATATATTTGAATTAAATTCTATTAATATATTTCTTTTGATCCTTTTCTTGTTAGCATGAATTTAAGATTTGCATTATGCAATTTATATTACATTAGCTTACTATGGAAAGGCTGTCAGCAAAATCAGAGAACACCTTTAGGGTTGAGGCTTGTGGCTATGTTTGCATGGACATCAGTGATCTAATGATTTACTTTAATCCGAATAAGACAATAATATGCTTAAAGTGTTTACATGAGTTGCTTTTTGAATGCTCCTTTCATGATCCCATTTTACTTGTTATTGCACATAGATTGATTAAAGTCATTACGTCACCACGCTATCCACATTGGAGCTCCTCTGGAGCTTCATACAATTTCTAATAACCTATCTGTGACTTTGATGTACCCCTTGATGCCTCTTACATCCTTGTCGCAGCACCAGTGGCACCAAATTTAGGCACTAAAATTCATATGCTGATTCGGTCCAGTACAAACCGATTACCAAGGGGGTTTCGGAACCCAACCGTAATAGCTATATACACAATAGAATTTTGTTTCTTGTTACTTAAAATTTTAACTAAAATAAACAAACATAAAAAAGACACTAATATAAGTATTTAGATATACACTTTAACTGTTTCCACATTAGTTATCAAGTAACTTGCTCAAGTTTAAGCATCAAAGCAATATTATAAACATTAATATTATTTATTATATTATAAAATATAAAAATATATAATAATTATATATATATATATATATATATATATATATATATACATACATGATATAAAATATATCTGAGCCTAAGTATATGACATAAAATTGTATTATTTAATTAAAGATTCATATTTTATTATACTCTTTAAACTAATTAAAAGTCATGACAAAAATATTTTCCAAATTAAAATATTGAATAAGATGAGTTGCAGAAACATTCTGTCCATTCAGAGAGAAGTTGAATCAGAGTTAGAGTCTGTGCTTATGGTCTGAGTCGCTGTCTCATGTGTTTAGGTGTTGCTGTCTGCCGGTGTGGTGTGTAAGTGTGTGTGAATGTGCTTTGGTCCCCAGCTGGGCTGAGCTCCACTATTCTCATAGCACAGGGTAATGAGGCAGTCAGGAAGGCCGGCAGAGCAGAGCGGGAACATGTCTGCCCAGATGAACACAAAACCAAGAGTCTGGCTGGAGAAACCACACTCAGTGGTCCGGTTACCGTCTCCCCTCACACACACCAAGCAAGAGTCCATTTTCTCTGGCCCTCACTGTAAACTCATAATATGGGCTGGTTGGGCTTCAGTTGATAGTGTGGTACACTAGTACAACTGAATACCGTGGAAAACACAGAAATGTCAGGGATTTTTTTTTTTTACTTTCCATGCTATTGTTTAGAAGTTTGATGTAAGTTTGACACCCAATGGTTGAACTAGGTATTGCAGTCCTGGATCAAAACAAATGCAAACGCAGGTTGCCAGATTGAGGACAAACAGGAGCGAGTCTGACGATCGAGCCTAAAGGCTGGTTTAAGCCGTGTTCTAAATAAAAGCAACAGCACATGACAGAAGGAATATCTCCATATTAAAAGAAGTTTTTGTTCTAATCAACACCTATTGATATACTGCAGATAGTTTACCTCACATCTTGAAAATAAAATAAACCGTTTGAAATAGAACTTTAGAACTGAGACACAAAACCAACACATAATAGTTCAGCATCTGCATTTAGTAATATTAAAGAGGTTTAATATGCATTAATTAGATAATAAACCTTATCATTTCGTGAGTGAGTGCATATTCTGTGCTTCTGAATGGCTGTATTTAAATTTAGTCATGTTTCTTCTGGTGCAAACAGCCAAATTGCTCATCACTCAAATCTTATATCGTAGTGTGTTGTTAGGACACGGGGTTACAATGTAACCTGCTCACCTAATGTTTACGTTAATAATATTTATAAATATTTGAAAACTAATAACCAACTCATGTGGATCTCTAAATCTTCATCTCATTTCGTAGTCTGCTACTGTTCAGCCGAGGTCAAATTTCGGTCACAGGTGTATTCCTGACTGAATTAATCAAATATGCTTTTTTTCCATCAAGGCAACCAGGGGTGCTGAAGTATAATTGGCTAAACTGGCATTGGGCGGGTTAAAAGAATCAAAACAAAGACATTTTCGAAGCAGAATATCTGACTTCAGCATTGTTTGTCAGATAAACAAGAATGTTTACCTGCAAACATATTATGGTATTTTTATGCTTTACAAGAGTCTCTGAGTCATTCAAGAGTCATTCTTTTTAAACCTGCTTTAAGACATTATAATATGTTAGATCTGTTTTTAATCTTTTTTGAAATTTTCTTATGCTTGTCTCTTTTATTCCTACTCATGTAAAGAACTTTGAATTACCATGGACCCTTTTTACAAGCCTGTTATGACACATTTACCGGTTATCATAATCTTAAATCCTTCAAATTTTTTTTACAATTTTTTTTAAATGTATGAACATTTATATGTATTTAGAAATTTATTATATAATTTTTGTGTCAAATTACAAAAAACGAATTACAACTTATACTGTACGAGGTGTTTTTAATCCAGCATCGATGGGGCTGAGAGTAAATCTGACGTTATTCTCTCCTCTGGCTGCCGTCATCAGTCTCGCACATTTTTTTCCTTTTTCTGAAAGTCGTTATAACACTATCGTGGCATTTTCTTTTTATTATTACACTAAATACGATTGTAAAAAAAAATAAAATTAAAAAATTTAAAAAATTGTTGTATCTTTTATTCACTGAACTCTTAATTTACCAAACTATGATGACTTCCGCCACCGAGAAACCTGGAAATGTGAAAAGGATACATTGTGTATGAAATGCCTTTTTAATATTGTTATGTCTGAAAATCTTTGCTTAATAGTTTTGTTAAATCTATTTTCAAATCAAATTTGACTAACTTAGCTTGATCTTTGGTCTCAATGTATCACATTTAAAATAAATATTTGTAAAGTCATTTTAAAGTAGTCCTGAATACATGTGATTATACTATTTTTTTAATTATTATTACTTTACACAGTAATAATAATAGTTAACAACTTTTTTTATGTTTTACATTTATATGCATATGTGTGCAAATGAAAAAACAATGAAAAAGTTTTGTAGAAGTTATGTAGAAAAAGTTATGTAGAAGTGAAAAAGTTACAGTGTTCATCTTTATTTTTGGAAGCGCTGTAATTCACCTTATTGTGTGCTCCCTATAAATGATAATTTACAGAACACACTGTGTTCCCTTCAAATTATTCATAAAATGTTCTTTACTTTTCCTAAAATGGTTTTTAAAAAGTCTTAAAAGTAACTTCATAAAAAACTTTGTAAAGATTCATTATTTTTGCACTACTTTTTTTTTTTAACTTAAAAGGTGCAAGTCGACCTTTAGCGTACCTTGATCCATTGCCAACCTTCATTTGACAACAGAACAAGCAGCTGACGTTGGATCGTTTAATGTGATTTGCTTACTAAGTGCTTCACTGTATTAAAATCAGTGCAACCTTTTCACCCTCCTACTGATGTCTGTATAAACAACCAAACTGACCTTGACTTTTAGATGCGAAGCAAACTGCTGACTCTCGCTTGACCTTTCTCCTCCTGCAGCCTGTCCCTATTGATGACTCCTTCTGCGGTTTGGACATCAACCAGCCCCTTGGCGGCTCTCAACTGGTGACCGGGCACACACTTTATACAGAAAGCCGGGATCGCATGACTTCGGTGACCTCCTATGTCTATAATGGCTTCTGCGTGGCTTTTGTTGGCACCAAGAGTGGACGACTGAAAAAGGTAAGTCTTTTTTTTTTCTCAGCTATGGATTGAAAGTTGTGGCTTTGAGAAGCAGAAATGATTTGGATGTTAAATGGAGATGTTGTACAGCTTTAACCTCGGGTACAAACAATATTTTCGTTCACAACCGGCGAGTCACGTTAGTTATTAATGGTGTCTTCTGGAACGCTGCTTTGAGCTGCTCTACTGGCCTCATTTAAAAGTATGGATAGGGAAGAAGGCAACCAGAAACTTTTCGTTTAAATATTAAATACCTTTTTGTAGGATTCTCCTGGTTCTGTTCACTTTTCCATCCATAATGGGCAGCTTAAAGCGACCTCTGGGGCTCCCGTCTACCTCCCTAGTCTATTAATTTTAATAGAATGTCTTCCCAGCCGAACCCTAGACAAGAATGTTAGACATAAGAGCCACAGACGCTTTGGAGAGTATAGGATTGTCAGATGTATGTCTCTAATATCTATATTATATACAGTGTAATGCAGATAAAGGGCGAGGAGATAATGTAATGTCAAGCACCTTTTGGTGGGTAATAGTAGCATTATAACAAGAAACCATCCCTCGGCTTCTATCGCTTGAAGTCAACATGAAACTACTTGCTTTCTTTTTGATTTGCGAACGTTTTTTTATCAAGAAACTGAATAATCAAAGGCTTCAGTGCCTGTTCAACCAGTGAGCGATATTTTTCTGTTTATTCTCACTGTGTGCTTGTCATCTGTCTCTTTAAATGCTCAAGCTTGTAAAATAGAATGGATTCTGATTGACTTCCATTGTTTTGATTTTTAATTGGCTTGAAAAATCTAATGCAGCATTCTAATGATATTGTCTGTGCTGGTGTTATAGTTGTGATGTCAACTTGTTCAACAGTTCAAACCGAGAACTGAAGAAAGGGGATTTAAGTGACTTTGAACGTGGCATGGTTGTTGGTGTCAGATGGGCTGGTCTGGGTATTTCAGAAACTGCTGATCTACTGGGATTTTTCACACACAGCAATCTCTAGGGTTTACAGAGAACGGTCTGAAAAAGAGAAAATATCCAGTAAGCGGCAGTTCTGTGTTTGCAAATGCCTTATTGATGCCAGAGGTCAGAGGAGAATGGCCAGACTGGTTTGAGCTGATAGAAAGGCAACAACAACTCAAATAAACACTCATTACAACTGAGGTATGCAGAAGAGCATCTCTGAATGCACAACGTGTCCAACCTTGAGGCAGATGGGCTACAGCAGCAAAAGACCACGCCGGCTGCCACTCCTGTCAGATAAGAACAGTAAAATGAAGCTACAATTTGCACAGGCTCACCAAAATTAGACAATAGAAGATTAGATTGAATCTCTGAGGAATGTTTCCTGTACCTTGTTGAATCTATGCCACAAAGGATTAAGGCAGGATTAAGGCAAAAAGGGGTCCAACCCTGTAGTAGTAAGGCATACCTAATAAAGTGGCCAGTGAGTATAATGTTTCTTAATCAAATGAGCAGTGTTAAATGTACTGAACTGTTCAAAAGAAGACAGTCATGATGAATTACAGATCTCTATGTGTGGTTCAAATTGTTTGCCCATTAGTGAGCAGCCAGTTTAGTTTGTGTTGACATGTTAGCATGTGGCTAATGATCCGGCTGCGGTTGGTAGCAAGACGAGACTACCTGTAGTAGGCAATTATAATGATGACGAGGGCTCTGTCAGCTGCTTTTGGAACTCAGACCCCCTTTGGGGCAAGACGGCGTTGAGTGACAGGACAGGCCCTGTTAGATGAGCAGGAACAGGCTTGCCCACCTCCTGTCCTCACCCCGCAGCAGCTGCAGGAGACACCAAAGGGATGAAGACAGAAAGACAGACCTGCTCCACAAACGTTGGTTTTGTCCCTCATTCCCACCTGCCCCCCTCCTGCTTTCAAACACACACACAAATAACAGCTGCCTTCCCAGACACCAGGGAGAACGGACAATGTCAAAGTGTCAAAACCGAGTGTTTGTTTCATGCCGGTAGCATGGCAACGTCCAAATTGTGTTTTGCGCCTTGATTAATTAATTTATAATTGAATCAGCAGTGCAATCAGGAAGTGGCATCGGAGGCATTCGCTCACTCTAATCCTCTTGTTTTAGTGGCTTATTAATTAATGTTATTTTTTTTTCTCTTCTCACAGTTGGTAAAATTAAATTAGGCCAACAGCACGGTGCTCTTCTTAGAAGTGCTGCCGTGGCATGTTTATCTAGCCTCAAGGTTGTTGTAGAGTCTCAAGCTGGTGCATATCGCCACCCTAGTGGAAAGAAAGCAGAATAGTGCGTACAGTTTGGGTGGAATTAGGATGATGCAAGATGCTGCAGAAGTGCCTTCCAAGGAACATTTGACTTGTTTGTATATCTTTCATTTTTTCAAAGGCTGGAGGATAAACCCTTGGAAGGTTTTAGGGCAAATATATGAGCCCTTAAGAATAAAACACAGCCATAGATGGAAATGTGATAGTCTCTGCAAACCCTGAGGATTCAACCACATCTGCACAGGGTGTAACAGTGTCGGAGGAAGAGGATGAGACGGGCCTTATGGGAACTTGTGTGTTTTGGAAAGGTTACGGAGATTTCACAGCCCCAGAAAGTGTGTCTTTTGGAGAATTCACAAACGAACCCAGAGATCTCAGGAAGCTGGTATTTTGGAGAGCCTTGACTTTGGGTCCATGAGCCTTTGTCCAACTGTGCAACTTAGGATCTGTTTCCAGTTTTCATCTGGTCATCTCAGATTAATTAATGTTTACATGGTACTGATATGCATTCAAATACATTTAGTTATGGCCACTTGTGGTTGGACTTTATCTCTTTTGTTTAGGGGGTATTTTGCCAGGACGTGTAAAGTCAGTAGAGAGTACATGTACGTAGATATCTTTTTAAATGTGTTTCACCAGCTTTGTATATTAGAAAAGCACTGAAATTAAAAAATCTGTGTTGAAACTGAAAAGTTCTAGATGCACTTGGCTGAAATCCAAAACTGAACTTGAGCCTGAAATAGCTTTGTAATATGCTTTGTATGTCTTTAGCCATATCATCCTACAGCCCAAGACTGGTCAGTCACAAGCTAAGCAGGGCTGAGTCTGGTTAGTACCTGGATGGGGGGCCGCATAGGAAAACTTGGTTGCTTTTGGAAGTGGTGTTAGTGAGGTCAGCAGGGGCGCGGATCCTGCAGTCTGTGTGAGTCCTATTGCCCAGTAAAGTGAGGGAGACACTATACCAGGGGTCACCAATCTCGCTCCTGGAGGTCCGGTGCCCTGCAGGGTTTAGCTCCAACTTGCCTCAACACACCTGCCTGGGTGTTTCAAGTATACCTAGTAAGTCCTTGATTAGCTTGTTCAGGTGTGTTTGATTAGGGTGGAGCTAAAATCTGCAGGACACTGGACTTCCAGGAACAAGTTTGGTGATCCCTGCACTGTACTGTCAGTAAGCGCTGTCTTTCAGATGAGACTTTAAACTAAGACTTTTTGTGGTTATTAAAAATCCAGTGGCACTTGTCATAAAGAGTAGGGGTGTAACCCCGATGTCCAAATTCCCTCCATCAGCCCTTACCCATCATGGCCTCTCAGTCATCCCCATCCACCGAATTGGCTCTATCACTGCCTCTCCACTCCACCAATACATATATGTGGTCGCACCATCCAAGTGCATGCTGCACACTGGTGGTGGTGTGGAACGACCATCCCCCTCCCCATGATTGTGCGCTATATAAATACACATTACTTATTTACTTACTAATAAATTATGTATTATTTTATTTAATGATATGAAGTAATTTTGTAAAGTTTTAAAAATTTAAATGAATAACTTATGTTATATTGATTTTTAAATCACAAACCAATAAAATAACCACATTTTATTGACTGTAACATTTTTATGAGAGTGAATGAGTCGAGAAGCGTCATTTGTTGCCATGACAGCACAGTAGCGCTAATGCAAGCAGCAATATCAAGTATACTGCATAAAAATGTTCTGTTGTCACATCATTTGAAGATACTTTGCATTGCTGGTGAGCATGTGCAGTAGTTGCTCCACAAAGTGGAATATTTAGCTGTTTGGAACGCGCTCATGCAGACTAGTCGATGGTGCACTCTGCTTCTCTTACACTTTGGTCGGCGTGGCAACTAACCAGTCTTGTCTGTCTGTGTTGCTGATAACTAATATGATGACCAGTGTTTTACATTTAAGCTGATTTGTATTTATAAGGCATAACTTTAGACATAAAAATGTGAAACAAATAAGCACAAAATATGTCATGTGTCATATTATATCATATATATATATATATATATATATATCATAAAGGTCATTGCAGAAATATTTTCTTGGGGAAAATACAAGCTTGGGAGCTTCGTACAATCATTGACCTACCACATTTTAAAGCCAAGCTTAGAACCCACTTTGGCTTTTAATGCATAGTAGCACTGACACGTTTCTCTGTTTTAATGTTTCGCTGTATTTTATTGATATCTCTTGTGTTGCTTTTGCATTTTAGTTGTGTTGTATAATTTGTTTTTACTGGTGTAAAGCACTTTGATCAACCTTGGTGTAGTAAGATGCTTTATAAATAAAGGTTGATTGGTTATTTTTACTTTCTTCGGTTAATATATATCTTTAATAATACATTATTTAAATATTTAATAATGTAGTTTTTACTTTTATGTCTTGCCTTAATCTCGGCCATGCCAATGTTTTAGGGTTTTGATTCTCTGTAGATGATATATTGTTGGACAGGGTTAAGCAGTTGTGCCTCATCCTTTGAAGAATGGACTCAGTTTTGTGATCTGCCTATTCCTGTCCTCCAACCGGGAGAGCAGAGGGAGGGAAACCAGAGAAAGAGGGAGAAAAGCGAAGCACAGTGGCAGCAAGAGAAGGGAAGAGACTGATGAAATGTGAAATTTAGCTCAGCTGAAGAAACCGGGCTTGCACTGCTGCCTGTAATTGGATTGGCTCCTTTCCCAAAGAGCAAACCCACCACTCTCTATTGCCACTTTCTCTTTCTCTCT